CTCTCACAATCCCACATTGATTCAGCCACGTAGTTCGTGAGATCCATCAGTTCTTCCCTTTTACGTCCCCCTCACTTAGGGCATAGGATCAAGCAAGGCCCTAACCTAAGGGTATGCCTGACCTGCCTAGGTAAACAAGTAAAGTACGCTCAACCGGGCTGCCCTAACCTAAGGGTGTGCCCAACATAAACTATATATATAAAGCATATGACCAGACTGCCYTAACCTAAGGGTGTGTCTGGCTTCTGCTTAACTGACGACATGAMGCATAGGTCTAGRCTGCCCCAACCTAGGGGTGTGTCTAGCCAGCCTTAAACAAGGTTACATATGGCATAGGGTTAAACTGCCCCAACCTAGGGGTATGCTTAACCTGCCTAGCACATACACGAACGACGGATGGTTGGACCGCCCTAACCTACGGGTACGTCCAACCCACAGAACATCAACGACAAAAGCATATCGCTAGGCCGCCCCAACCTAGGGGTACGCCTAGTTAGCTTACACGGTTTAAGTTACATAAGGCATGATCTGCCTAAACAAAGTACAACGACGTATGGCTAAGCCGCCCTAACCTAATGGTACGCTTAGCCTTCGTAACAACAGTTTAAGCAACCACGAACACTTGCATAAACTTTATGATTTTCCTTTTCTTCTTAGGCAGATAGTCAGACCTACCCAACCTAGGGAGATATTCGACTCTGCTTGGTGTTTAGAAGGGAAAATAAAAGCAAGTTTATACTAACTCTCTGACCTTTTGTGTTATTACGAGCATAGGATTGAACCGCCCTAATCTAAGGGTACGTCCAGCCTGCCCGAGTTACCTCCTTTATACTTTTCACTCGCTTTCTTTTTATTCTTACTGCTACCTGACTTATTGACTGGCTTTCCCAACCTAGGGTGCCCGGTCTGTCAGAAATATAAGTTCAATAGTACATATATCCGAATTTTATACTCAAGGTGACACTTTTGTTCATGGCTTATGGCTGAGCCGCCCTAACCTTATGGTACACTCAGTCTTATGCCTTTGCTCCCTCAGAAAACACACACAGGACTGGGGTCACGCAACCTAGAATACCCCAGTTCTGTTTCAAGAACCCACAAAAGAAACATAAGGATTCTGAGACATCCCCACCTAGGGCGCTCATCCTCCTGTTCAGAAACCCCAAAAAAAAACAGCGGCTGGTCCGTCCAACCTAGGATAGGTCCAGCCCTCAAAATCATACAGTCAGTCCCACAAACATAAAATAAACACAGCACTGAACCCACTCAACCTAGAGGGGTCCAGCCTTTGGTTGACCCTGTCAAGACATGCAATACAACCTTCAGCCCACCTTTCCCCAGTTCATCCTTGACTGCATTCACTCAATTAGACATCTGATCTCTCATATACTTGTTCCTTTAGCCTTCACAATGCATGTCCTGACATACAAAACAAAAGAGAAGAGTAATAGTTTCACATAGCTAAGTTCAGATAGCCCAGGGATAATACATAGGGGAAGGGATCACACAGGTTAACGAAGATATACCTGAAGTTTCCTGCCTCCAGAACCCCGCCTGGGTTCCGACAGAGCTCCCGCAATCGGTGGGGCAACCTCCCACAGAGGCGTTGGTGCGGACCTACGGGTTGCACTCCCTTCTGCCGCCTTCCTCTCATAACCAAAGACCAGACTGCGAGTAAGAAGGGTAGAGACAGATAGAGTAGACTCTCGATATCCAAGAGAGGGACAACTCAACTCACAGTGAGAGAGCCTTGGAATCTGGATGCTCCTGAGGGCCCCGCAATGATTGGCAAAAATTGCACAGTCGAGACGCTCCAATAGCAGCCAAACCCAAAGTAACAGCCCTCGAACGGCCTCCAACACCACAGCCATAAGCCCCCTGATGAGGTCGGATCTCACTCCCAAGTCACCACACTTTCCTTTTTCACAGTGCCCTCTCCGGTCAGCCAACGTCGCTGCTGTTCTCACTGAGGCCCAACGTCCCACTCAGCAGCACTGCACGGCGAATGACACCGTCCTGCAGCAGCAACCCTGCCTGCYGCAGTCGCTGTCGAACACTCAGAAAYCCGARCGCCCTGTAATAGTACCAARCCCTGAAGTSTGACAGTTCCCCGTCCGCCCCCTTAGTCGCAACAAGGACCCTGCCGTAAGAAGGAACAGGAATAGTGCACAGTGGCTGTCTGTGGTAACCAACAGCACCCCCGAGACTGCTTAGGCACATGAGAGAGCACGGTCCTAAGGCTGCTACCGTGAAACAGGAGCAGCAATAGCCGGTTAACAATACAGTACCCGCCGTCAAGGGAGGTAGTAGCGCGGTATTGCCGTAGTGTACCGCAAGGGGCAGTCCCCAATTCAACAGCAGTGCACTGCCAAGCACAGTTGGTGCCCAACAAGGTGCTCATCGGCGCCCACCAGTCAGCAACCCAACAGGGCAGGGGTGTGCAGCAAGGTGGCGCTGCAGCAGCTCAATACGAGTACAACAACTCACAGATCGTGTGTCGTGTTAGCCTGACCCAATAGCAGTAAACTCCCTGCACCACCTGACCACCCCTCTAAGTCACTGGGCCTCTTCCTCTCTGCCTGAACTGCAAAAAAGGTCGTGTTCGAACAGAGCACACCCTGACTTTACTTAATGCAATAGCCGTCGTCGATTTCCAACAGACTGCTTTCCTCGCAGCGATCGCATATAATCAGCGTGATAGTACACCGCCAGCTAGGGTGGCACCATGACTTGCTGGGTCTGGCGTCAAGGCGGACAATGAACGCCCCTATTGATGATATCGAAAGTGAGCAGCCACGGCCGCCGTAGATCGAGTCAGGGGCTGTACTTGCAATAGTCCGAACCTCAACGACCTACAGCGGCTCCCTGACTCCCCCAGCTAGCCACAGTATGCAGTGCACTTCAACGAGGGCTTGGTAATCCATAGTGGTACACAGCGGAACACACCGAAGTACTGGAGCAGCAACTCAGTAGTACAGTAACTTTACAGCGCCAGTGTGACTGCTCGCTGCCCTGCTGTACCACTCTTAGAAGGAACAATGACCTTTGGTGATGGCAGCCGCTGCTGCTAAGACAAACACCCCTTCAAGTCTACGCGGTGCTCTTCAAAACCCCAGCCACTCTCTTGGCCACTAACACCGCACTGTCCTTAGTAACAGGCCAATGCTGGAACAGTGGCCTAGATCAAGATATCAGAAAAAGAAAAAAAAGAAAAAAAAGAAAATTACTTATCCACAATACTTAAACAGCAGCAACTCATTGATTAGTCCCGATCACGGATGTATTTCCACCGAATAGACCCCCAGGCCTGCTGTAGCATTACCCCAAGCACTCATGCCAACTTCCTAGTACTCACCACTTAGCTGGCCTACCAGCTCAGGTCAGAGATAGTGATCCTCCTTGTGACAGTCCCACCGAGGCAAGATTGGGATTCAAGATGACAATCATGGTGGGCATTGCCACTTGAACCTGGTGAYGAGGGTACACAGYGGGTGCACTGAACGTCAAAAGTACARTCTGTAAYAAAAATTAGATCTAACTACTGTCTCTCCCCAAGTCAATTAGCACCAAGACTTTCCAAGAGTCCCACCCTCTTCGTCAACACTTCCACCTARGTTTMTGGRAGTCTCCTCCTCCCTCCCCTATTCCTTCAGTTSTAGTTATAGTTTTTKGAGGTGCCCAGTCTATCCGGCCTGTCAGTTATGCACTATSAGAGGGMATCYTTCACAAAGAGGTAGGCAGATACACCGCCGCGAACAGACCTATTAAAAAAAAATTCTGATGTGATTACGAACCATGCTGCCTGAGGTAMGTAYCGCCACTGCACTCACAGGGGTGGGGGAAGAAAAASAGCCCACCGYGGTCCACAKARACAGGCTGYCAGAAGTGAGCCCACACAACTCAATTAATCGGATCAGACTTGAAGGACGAAGGATATTCCACCTTCATGTTACAGACACCCTCCCTCTTCATCAAGCTTGTCCAAATATGTGAAGTTGTTGAATGTGGCAGACAGATCCGGGAGACCATACCGATTACACACACATTCACACTGCTCACTCCATGACAATACTCTCTCTCTCTCTCTCTCTCTCTCTCTCTCTCTCTCTCTCTCTCTCTCTCTCTCTCTCTCTCTCTCTTTTTGCCGGCCTCCCGTATGTGCCGCTGGTACAATCAGAGGATGGGGTCTAAATGCAGTATGCCTGCCTACGAGCCAGGGACCACGTCCACTACGACGGAGCAAAGCATTACTACGGCAACGAGGCGCGACTGACAGGGAGAGAACGACAGCCAATGAGCACCTAGCGAGGAGCGCCCAGCTTTCACGTAAGTGGGAAAAAAAAGAAGAAAAATAAATAAAAATAAAGAATAAAAGTAGACAATGTACCCCCCCGCTAAAATACAGCCAGATAAGTTCTTCGGCTGCGCCTGCTGGCCACAACACAACCCTCCCAGTTGCTCATTTAACTGGGGAATGAACGCTACACCCTTCCTGCCGACGCCGACGGCACGAGACCAATCACACTACGTGGCATGTAATGACAGCGATCATGACGAGTTCGATGCCGTGGCTGAACAGGCATCACCCGGGTGGCATCCAGCAAGGCGGCTACGAGCCTGAAAACGACGATGCTCTTCACCAAGGTCGTATGACAGATAGTGATCCATGAGATGACGAGAGTGAATCTTCCACTATAACATGGAAAGGTGCACCCCCTCTTCCGAACTCTCTCTCTCTCTCTGTCACAACCTCCTCCCCCCCTCTCACTTTACGTATACATCTCTACCTCGCCGTCATCCCTGCTTCGGCACACTCGGAAGGAGATTACAACCTGAGCATAAGCCTCCCACCAGGAATCGGGGGGGTTCCTCGTCACTTCGTAGTTGCCACTCTGCTCCCGGCCGGCCGTGCACCGCGCAGCCTCCACTGCTGACCCTGGTCATCCCATTGCTCGAAAACGAATTCTGATGCTGCCATCTGCTTCGCCCTGCCCAAAAACCTCATGTTGAACTCTTGATTTGCCCGATTCCGTTAAGGAACGAGCGAGCTAGACCATTTTCGTTCTTTTCTTCTCCTTTTCCTTCGAACGCACCTGGTGCGGAACTGCGTCCAAATTCGTTCGACTTTCTTTTGTCTTGTTAGTCACTCTTTCCCCTGGCCGTTCTCGTAGCCTCCCTTCACGCCCCTGCCCTTCTTCTAATCTCGTTCCCTTCATGTGATGGCTCACAGCTTCTCGAACACCGTGGCAAGTACCGCAGGCGCGCTCATACGCAGAGCTCTCACAGCCGCTCATGAACGTCGGAGGACACCTCCTCCTCCCCCGTAGCAGCATCCCTGTGGTTAGCTTGGCCGAGAGGACATACCGCAATGGCAGCCCACCGTACGCCAGAACGAGCAAGAAGTGTCGGGCTACAAGCCTGCCTCATATGGAAGATGTCTACCTGGTCCAGTTCTCCGTCCATTACCTTCTTTTATGGCCGCCCAAGTGAGCTTCTTCCCTGGAGCAGCCTTCTTGGTAAGCGAGGAGGTCTCCCAATTTTTGAAGTGCCCTAGGAAGGTACCACATTGTTCCTCTTCTGCCAATCCTGGGACTTTCTTCGCCATCTTCTCGAAGGCAGTTGCAAATGCCCCCACCGTTGAGGACTCATCTCGTTGTATCATCTCCAGATCCGTCTTTGTCAGCAAGCCATATCCTAGCTTGAACCGCCTTTGCATTTCAGCCTTGAACTTTGCCCAGTCTCCCCCTGCTCCAGCAACAACCTTCATTATCTCAGGCCGAATTTCCCACCAGATGTATCGAGGTAGGTATTTGAACTTAACCGCTTCTGGCACCTCGGCTGTAATCTGTTCCAGGAGCTCCAACCATTTTGACACCCTCTCCCCTTCAAAGTGGAAGAAGTCAATTTTTGGCACTTGTAGCCTTGCCAACTCCCTCTTTTCGAGAGCCTTGACAAAGTCCTTTGGCGTAGCAGCCGGGCCCCGCTCGATTCCATCGGCGTCCGGCATCTTCACAGCTTTTCACTAACCTACCTGACAGGGGTGACAAGGGAAGTACCGGTAAGCAGCTTGTCAAGTGTCAGAGGGCTTGCCCTACGTCATTCTTGACCACTCTACTTTTAAGCTTAGCTAGCCGCTCTACCATTAGTCATTCACGTCCAAGACACACCCTTCAGTCGCACTATATATCACTCAGTCTTATTACGACTTCATATACAACCCTCTTATATATGACAATCCAACCTATAACTTCTTGTCGTTTTGCCTAGATCATCCTTCTTCAATAGAGCCTTTACCTTTGCACATGTGAACTCGGACCCTCTATCCATCACAAACCTAGAAACAAAGGGATAGCGAAGATAATATTCCCTAAGTTCGTCTCTTGGTTCACCCTATTCCATCAAGAATCGAGCGAGCTACGTACTTTGCACCCCGCCATAGCTCTATTCCCGACATCTCAACGCACACCATTTCTCTTCTAGCCCCTATTCTACTAACCCAACAGCCGAACTAACCCCGCCATTCAACTCGCCTTACTCCAAAACCCCAATTTCAAGTCTTACTTCGCCCGGTTTCGTCAAGGAATGGGCGAGCTATGACTTCTTCCTTCCCACTACTTCACTTCTATCATCTTTTTCGTCCACGTCGTCTTCTTCCTCCCGAATACAACACACCCCAACAGCTCACTGTCGGATAGCAGTTCGGGCTGTCAAGACCTGCTAACCAAGGTCCGCCCTCAACTTATACTTGTCATGTTTGTGCAGGGGTCATGCTAATCTTCCCAGTATCGTTCCAATTTTAATGGATGTCCCGAAGGACCAAAGGTAATTCCCACAACGAGGCTGTGCAAGATCAGCCCCGGGGCTGGACCTGTATTCCAGCAGTTTGTGAGTGTGCCAACTGAGCTATGCCCGCTATTTGCCTAGCCAGCCCCCGGTACCAGTGCTCTGGGTTGTGTCCCGAACTGAAACCAAAGGGTAAATAAAAATCAAACGAAAATAAAACAGAAAAAAACAGCAGGATGGGTAGGGGTTTCGTATGACCAGCGGTACACAGCCTCTGCACTGGTGCCCGCTGGTCCTCACCCCAGCCAAATATAGTTCACCATCTTACTGGCCCCACCGGGTATGCTCAGGGTATACTCACACTGCAGGTCCCTGCGGCCATGGTCACACTGCAACCCCAAATCTGGGACGGGTCAATTTGAGGTTTTGGACATGGTTCAGGTCACACTCTGCTGTCCGAAGTTTTTTTTTTTGCACAACTTGTGGATGGTGCCGTGTGACCAGCAAGGGACCAAATTGCTGTTTGCTGCAGACGGTCGGGGCCGTGTCCCATCTGAGAAAGGGACAACAGAGTGTGACCTGAACCATGTCCAAAACCTCAAATTGGCCCATCCCAGATTTGGGGTTGCAGTGTGACCATGGCCGCAGGGACCTGCAGTGTGAGTATACCCTGAGCATACCATGGGCACAGTCTTTAGTTGAAATCGTTGAGTTTTGACTGCGGTGCAATTAAAGGTGTACTCTATTTTAGCGCGGTCCATCTAGACTGCGAAGCGGAGGACTCGACTAAAGGGGGACGACATTGTGATTGAGAGGGAGTTGCTGTTGCAGGTTGGAAGGTCGTGAAAGAGAGGGGGGGGAGTCAACAATCGGCAGTTCACTTCAGTTTGACCATCCTATTGCGACTTTTGGCTGCCATTGCGGGGCCCTCAGGCGCATCCAGATTCCAAGGCCCTCTCGCTGCGAGTTGAGTTGTCCCACATATCTGAGAGCCTGAACTTTCTTTTTCTTCCTTTCTTACTCTAACTCCAGTCTAAGGTTACGAGAGGAAGGTGGCAGGCGAGATTGCAACCCGTAGGACCGCAGCAAGACCTTGTGGGAGGTCCACCCACCGATTGCGGGATCTCTGCCGGAACCCATGCGGGGTTCTAGGGGCAGGGAACACTCAGGTATAATCTCGTTCACCCGTGTGATCCGTTCCCCTAACTATTATCCTTGGGCTATCTGAACATAACTATGGAAGGAAATTACTTTTTATTTTGTTATGTATGTCAGGACATGCTTTGCAAAAGGTTTAATAAACAGTTATATATGAGAGATCAGATAACTCATTGAGAGAATTCAGACAAAGGTAAATTGGGCGAAGGCGGGAGGAAGGCGTTTTGCATGCGCTTGACTGGGACAACCCAAGACTAAGCCCCTCCGGGTGGATGTGGGCTCGGTGCTATGTTTTATTGAGGTTTGTTGATGTGAATGAATGACTTCTATGGCTAGTCCACCTGGCCCCCTGCCGTACCGTCGTGCAGCGCCGCCATAATGTCAATCTGACGAGCGAGGTCGCAAACCACTCTTCTAGGGTCCCTTCCTTTCCTCCTCATGAACAGATGGTCGTCCCTTACCAGAAAACTTGGCATCATCTTCAGAACTCGTGTGCAGGCATCCCTTTCCCTCATCTCACATGACAGCAGCATTCCGAGCTCAAGGTATACTCCCTCATATTCCGCTGCTCGGAAGACTTCTTTAATCTCACGTTCCTCAAAGCCATCATCGTCCCTCTCGTGGATCACATTGTCACCTCCTCCCGGCTCTACCTCCTCTTCCTAGTCTAGTACTGTATTTCTGATTGTCTCTTCCTGAAGCAGCGCATTTGCCAACAGGTACACCCCACCTATCATCTTCTCGTGCTTACCCACCTGTAGCGCTCCATTTTCAATCGTGAGCGAGTTTTCCTGTAGCTCGTACTTGCTGGCTAAAGCCAACTTCATCATCCAGCCCACGTTCGGCATTCCCCAAGAGTCTTCCTCGACATAGGTCTTGAGGACTAAGTATGGCCGTCGTACATGCCCCGGAGGCGCAAGCCACACAGGTCACCCAGGAGTAACGCACTTACCCACGGCCAATGCTAGGAGTTCATGTGAAGTCTCACATCCTCCTCGCTGTCCAAAAACCCGTCAACTGGTGGAGTATCCTCGATCATTCCCTGATTGTTCTTGTCCCAGTCGACGCGACTCAACCCGTCTGCTTTATTCTTGGTCCCGGGAATCCGCTCCAACTCAAAGTCAAACATCCAGATGTACGTTAGCCATCTGGCGATAGCGGGATCTGAAGGAGCGAAGTTCTTGAGAGAGCCGGCCAGCGCCGTAGCATTCACCCTCAACACGAACCTACTGCCAAAGAGGTAGTTTCTGAAAATTCTTAAGCAGTGAAGAACCGCCAAGGTCTCGCGCTTGAACTGAGAGTAGTTTCTCTCAGACGT